AGCTGAGGCGGAAAATGCCTTTTAACCCTTGTGCGATGTTCATATTGTTGTTACTCAGCCAGCGTTTGTGGGTATGATGGACCCGTTGCATTTTGTGGCTTTTAATGCCTCACAATCAAACACCTTTATGTCAAAATACTGAACAGATGTTTACCTTATCTTAACCACTCTCTCTCATCCAAAATCACCTCCAGGGCCCTCTGGGCAGAGAACCTTTTGGCCATCTTGATCGGTTCTGATAAGAAACCACACTCATTGTATCATTTTTCTTTTAATAAAAGATGAAAACGAGTCACTTAGACCCGAACACCACACAAGGGTTAAAGGGATTCTCTGGAATAAAGGGAGAACGCTTTGAGGTGGAGTCAAAATTCTGCTGGCGTTCTGGAACCGTTTCCGACCGCTGTGAGGAGGCTCAGGGGCTAGGGCCGGACACCTTCACTCTGCGGTCCAGGTTTCTTTTTTAAGCGAGCATTCGGTTTTAGTGGAGAAAAAAATTCCTCCCAGCAGGCTTTGGGAGGATTCTTCAACAGGAACATCATTGAAATGTGTCACAGCGTTGCATACAATCAAGCCCTGATGAAAACAGATTATTCTCCTCTACTTTTGGAGGTGTGCTGCTCTAAACCCAATCTAACCTTGTGGCTCTGAACTGTCCACAAACGTCCTCTGACCCAGAGGACTTTCAGCTCTCTGTCAGGACAGACAGCACCCGGAATGCTGTGATGCCAGGTTTTTCCAAAGGATCTGAAAAGATACAGAAACTAAGTTTTGACTCATATCATCTGCTATCGATATACCAAAAAAACAAACTAACTAAAACTAAAAATCCATCCATTTCACACGGAGGGCTGGAGCGTATCCAGAGGAAGAAGTCCCTCCATCACAGGAGCACAGGCACCAAGCCATATACACCCCCCAGTCCTCCACTCAGTTCAGTCCCCAGTGAAGCTAGCATGCATGTTTTTGTACAGAGCAAAAGTCATTTGATCACCAGCTCCTTCATGGGGGTAAGAAGCATTTTTCCAGGGTTTCCCTGTCATTCCCACAGCGTAGAGCTCAGTCTGAGTCCCAGCAGGCCGCTATCATGTTGAAGTTTTCCCCCCCCAGCACGGAGAATGTGCAGAAGGTGACACCTGTGATTCTCCCTCACAGTGTTGAAGCAGGATGGAGGACACGGTGATGCAGAAGCAGAAGAGGCCGTCAGTTCTGCGTCAGGCTGCCTCCCGAAAGCATCCCGGTAGGCACACGTTCTGGTATCTAAGCTCTATGCCAACAGCAGGTGGACCTTTTCTCCTGTCTGACACCTTTAGAGCATCTCGATTCTAAATCATGACGTATTACAGTTAATAATGTTGAATACCATTATTTAAAGTATTAACAGAAGGCATAGTTTGACTCTGTACTCGTCCATTTTCAACCTGTACTCAGGTTTTTTCTCTTTTCGAACAGGATTTATTTTCCCCCTGCTCTACATTTCACTATAGTCCAAAGTAGCTTCACCTGAAAGCAAAGCTTAAAGGCTCCAAAACTACAAAAGAAATACCTTTAAGAACCATCCAACAATATCAATCTACACATAAAAAATACACATAATGTTCCCTGTCTCTACATACAGGCAATAGCATGTATTTCATACTGGTTTGAGTTTGTTTACCACCGTAAGCCGTAAAAAAAGTTCTGATTTTCTGTTTGATTAACCGATGAGCTGATAAAAAAGAAGCTCATTTTGGACTAAGTGAGAGAAATGTCCCAGGTTTCCATGTGGGTCAGAGTAAAGGCCTGGAGGAGGTTGGTGGGAGCTGGATCCGGAGTTTTCCGGAAACGGAGTGAACAGCGGTGCTTTTCTCCCTCCAGAGAGCAGTGGAGCCGTCCCTTTTTGCAAAGAAGAGGCAGACGCAGGCCCCCGCTCCCGTTCCACTTCCCCACGCAGCAGCTCCATCCCCAGACCAGGTCTTCCCCAGGTGCCAGTGAGGGGGGGCGACGCAAAGCCCGCTTCACCAGAGGCCGGCCTTCACGAAGGGTAACAGTCTCACCTCTACAAACGATCATCGTCTCAATCATTTTCAGTCTAATTAGTGGATTTGACAAAAAATCTTCCATTTACCCAAATGAAAGGTCCTTTCTGAGTGGGTTAAATGAGTGGACATTCCTTTGGGAAATATGGGGCTGAGCTTTCCGTTAGCCAGCTGCCCTTATTAAGGATCTTATGACGTAGTCTCGGAGGCCCATATTTTGATTTCCAAAAAGGAGCACACTTTGCCCACCCCCCCGAAGGATTCAGGCTTTTGGTACCAAAAGAACTTTGGTAGTAAAACACAATCTGTAACAACCAGTAACAACATTGTAGCTCTCCTTTAAAATACATCAATAAAATCAAATAACGTTCTTAATATGACCTCTTCTGGATTAAAAAATAACTTCAACTAAAGACCTAAATACTCACCTCTGAATGTAATAAATGAAACAGTCTCACAACAACATAAACTCAGCAAAAAGGACAAAAAGGGGGGAAAAAGTTTTGTTGCTCCATCCTTGTTTTTTCTGTTTATGACGCAATTCAAGCACCCACATAGATTTTTCCTTTTTTTTCTGCCTTTACTAGATTTGTAGACGGTTGGTTTAATAAGCTAATCCAATTGTGTTTGGTAGACATCTCCACTCTGAGCAGAAGCACGGTGACAGAAGCATTGCCCAGTGGAGGGTCCAGCAGGACATCGTCCACTACATGGAGCGTCAGGTGGGACTTCAGAAGATCAGAAGTTACACCACAGATTATCTGGAGCAAAGCTCAAATTCTGACCTTAACTCCCTGGCCCTCATAGCTGTGGGGACCTCAGAGAGATTCTCCAAGTCTTTTGATTTAGCTAAAGTTACTTTTCAGCGTTTTGGACTTTGGTACTAGAAGCTGAAAAAGTGATCTATAGCCGATATATTGTGTCTGAACTCTTTGGAATATAGATATTTACATGTAATTGTGTTGTCTTGGGCTGTCCATTTCAGCTCGTTCTGGAAAAACAGAAACTCATTGCTATGCAGCTTCATCTCACTGAGCACAAATACTCTGACCTGGTACGTTTCCCAT